TAATTGCAAAAAATATTTTATTATTACTTAAATATTTAAATGAGCCAACGTACCATTCGATAATAATTTTTAATTACCTGACTTATTTTCTATATATGTATAAAAATATATAATATAATATTAAACCACTACTAACCTAATTTTAATTATGATTAGTGAAAAAAAAACATAAAATCAATTTCATCTATTTATAGAGCAAGTTTATTTAGCAAGATTTCAATTTAAATGTTCACAAATTTTAACCGATTCATATAAACTATTAGAATACTAAAAGTGAAATATTAATTAATAAATACGAATATATAATAATATGCTCAGTCCATACACAAAATATATATACTGGCTTACTACGCAATACACACAAATAATATAGAATAATGGAATAAAAAGTTTTTAATTATCAAATTACCGTCGAAAACGATTGTTTAATATTTTTTTTCTAATACAAACAAGAGCTACTGTGATTATGTTATAAATAACAACAATGACTGTTTAGACAGTATGCCGAAACCGGTGTTGCATAAAAGAGGGTAAACCGCCCAGAAGTGTCTTCTTTTGTTATACCAGTAGAGGGGTCGTGGTATAATATTGTAGGCACATACACTGATGGATAATAGGCGTTTAAATTATCATCATTGTATGCTGTTGTTAGCTGTTTTAGACTTTAAGTCTCTAAAAACATCTATCATGAATATTAGGGCTAAATGTAATATTTTTTTTTTTTAGCTCAACGGTGAACGAAATAGATAAACCTAACACATTTTTAATGGAAAATATTCTCAACGTCAAACTACCTTTAATATTTTAATCATTATGATAATGTGATGTGTGGTGACTAATTTTCATAAATTATTTAAATATTATATTATATACAGAAAGTATTTATTTTTTTTAATGATTTTTGGTTTTTACTATTTAGCTATTTGATATTTAATCTATTTTATGAATATAAAGATAAAATGTACTTAATCGATTCGTATACTCGTATAATAATTTAGTATTTTATAAATAAGCATAAATATCATTTACTTTTGATGTTGTACCCTATATTACACAAAAATATTAAATAAAAGATCTACAGGTGTTAACTGATGAGTACTATGACCGATTTTTAAATTAAATTTGTTCTTTCATCACTCTTTTCGTACATACCTAGTGAATATTGTCAGTTTGAATTATTTTAAATCCCTTGATTTCGTAATACATACTTACGATATACTCGTATAACTGTATTTTATACATTATAGTATTATACGGGTTTGTAAAACAAAAATCTATTATATTTTAGATTTTGAAAGCAGCGATGAATGTATTGGTTTTACAATGATGAGTGTTTTATTGTGTATATACCTATGTGTATTACTACGTTTCAAAGAAGAAAATTTGCTTCAATCTTCGATTTTGCTGGTTGTTTGGTTGTTTTAGTAGAAAATTGGATCTAGTTGACACATTGGCAGGTTGAAAGTAAAAAATTTTCAGTACCTACTATTTAAAATAACTGAAAAAAAACTAATAAAATAATATGGAGACAGAAATATTTACAGACCACCCGTTTTTGACAGAATTGAATTTGTTTTGTTTCTTCAAATAGAATAACTGCAGGATGTGAAATTTACATAAAATATTAACACTAGCATTTTTCAGTCATGACATAAATTTAAAATCTTTTGGCTATTTTTCAGTTATTTAAAGCCAATGTAAATTGTCTACTTTTTTAGTTAATTTTTAGTAAATTGTGGTATCTAGTATAAAAATCTTCAAAATGTAATACAATGTTCCTAAAAAGTGGATCTTATAGCAATTTAAAATATCATACCTCACAAGATATTTATATAATTGTTTCACTACCGGCATTTCAGTATAATATGCGTATATAATATACTGCAGTATCTAATATTTAATATATAACACTATAGTTACGATGACGGCTGCGAGGCCAGGGGTGGCGAACGTGAATTTTCAAATATATTAATTTTTACAGTGAAAAACGTATACACGATAGTCGGTAATGATAACGTACAGTGGCGGTGAGTAATGATGCAACAACACGCATAAACATTATATCTCACAGGTTTGTGTCAAATAAATTGCCACAACTTTAATCCGGAAGACGGTTGTGTATGTGTACAAAATGCGACCGAATAAATATAAACTTAAGCCTATAGAAATTCCAACATTTACAAACGGTATTTATGAGCCAATTCATGTGCGGTTGCCTGTACAGCTTTTGCTATGTAACCTGCACGTAACGCGCCGTTACGTATGTTAAGAAGAGATTCAATTTTTCAATAATTACCAACTGCAAAACGATTTAGAAGCCACACGATTGTCTATTGCGTTTGTACCTATACAATTAGTATTTTTATTAATATTGTTATAGTTTAAAATCGTTTAAAATTTTTTTCAATATTAGGAACATTTATTTATTTTTTATTTTTTTATATAATTATAAAGTATAGAGTGGTATCATTGGTCCGTTGTCCTATAAGTTCGCTGTGTGCTCAACTAACTTGATGAAGTCTATTTTCTTGTTTCTTGTCCGAAGCAGAATGCTTCTTTGGATAAGATTGTGTTAATATTTTATTTTGTTATAGCGTGTTGATAGGTGAGGTATTCTAAGAATATGTGTTTAACACAGAGTAAATAGAGGCATTTTTCGCACACGGGGTATTACGGTTCATTACACATTAGATAATCATGTGGAAGTCTTGTATGTCTAATGTGTACTCTGGTGACCAAGGTCTCCTTTATCGTGTAGCTTGATTAGTGGGTCTGGGCATTTTTCTTCTGTTGCAGTTTTAGCAGTGATGTTGTGTTGGAATCTACTTTTCCGTCAGCTAACAGTTTTGATTCAATTCGACGATTTCATGATAATTGGAGGAACACATAGGAATTAGAAATTATTAACTTAGAAGTTATTTTTAATACGGTATCCAGTAAATTGGATTAATATTATTTGCACAATATCATATTTCAATACTTCTATATAATAATATAAATGAGAAATACAAGTAGGGAAGGCGGGGCAGTAGCTTCTATGGTTTATAAATCATGTAATTTAATAACAAAATTAAATACAAATTTTCCAAAACCTGGGGTAATACCGTATGTACTCTGAGGCATAACAGTCCATGGCTTATATATCATATAATTTTTGACGAAATTAATTTTGGATTCTGAGGGGGGGGGGAGGAAGCTAGTGGTTTTACAATGGTGTTTATTTTTTATTTTATTTTTTATTTTTATATCCTGTATACAAAATTTCTACCAAGAGGAATGCTTCGATTTCAACATATAGTACTTTATCTTTTACCAAATTTGATCAAGATTGTACTTTAGAGAGGTCATTTTTCGAGTTTATCAATAGTTATTTAATGCAAATTTTCAAAAAAATTATGAAAAACCGCTAAAAATTGGATTTTAATTTCTAACGCTTTGTTTATTACCATAGAAACGAATAAATAATAATAATATTATAATATTAATTCAACTTACATGATTTAATAATTAATGACAATATAAAATATCTAGACTGACAAACCGTCTCAGAATCGTTTTTCTTATACAATGATGGAATATCATTGAATTCAGGTTTAATACAATTCATTATACCATTAATCCATTATGACCCACTTGTAACCTACTGTACAGCAGAGCAAGTAGCAACATCCACTTACCCGCTTTTTTTATTTAAATTGGTATACATCGAAAAACTTAAAGTCCATAACTTTTACTTGAAACTTTTTAACGGTTTATTTTTTAAACGTGTTTAATTTGTTTTACTTTTTTGGAAAAGTATAATATAAATACCCCATACATGTTTGGCGCCACTGAGCTTTGCCTATGTTAACTCATCGTCTCCTCTCAGAATCGTTTTTCGTATCCAAAAATTCATCATTGAATTCAAATATGACTCATCCATTACAATACTCGACAACTACTGTACATCAGAGTGGTCCGCCTTGACACACATCATTATAAAACCAATACATTCTTTCACTCCACTCAGAATCTAAAATTTTTTTTTTTATATATTTGAAATGTGTGAATATTTATACTGGCCTATTACAAATCAACAAACATCCCGTTGCTTTAGATTTTATTAAAATTCACAGCCTATAATTTTTGATAATCGCTCATTTGTAAAACTGCTGTCATTTTGTTGACATTGTTATATCATCGTCTTTATTATATTCTGTATTGTAATTGTACCTATTGAAATCGTATAATTATTATGAAGCTATTTGAAAACAAGTCGCTTTCTGCGGAGGCCGAATAAATTATGAGAGTTTTTGTGGAACTGAGGGCCGCAAAGTTCAATTTTCCATGAGGATGATACGTGGACCAGAACGTCGCCGGTACAGAGCAGCTCAGCCACAGACATGACCCCGCGCCGGATGTCTCGGCATAGCCAAGTCGGACTAATGTCCAAGACACAGAAGACATCGTGGCAGATGAGCTGACACACCGGCTCTACAGATACAGATCTGTTCGGCGAGCAGGCTGCTGGTACTGTCGCGGACAACGTCGTCGTCGATACGTCCGTGGTTCTAAAGAAGCCGACGTCAACGCCGTAACTCCTGCGATGGCAACGCCAGGATCGTTGCGTTTCCGTCGGGACTGTGACGGCGTCTGCAGCGTGCGGCGACGACCCTTGGCTTCCAGCATCCCCGGTTCCAGTTCCGACGGCAAGCCAACGTTTCTGAACCCCACAGCCTCCTTGGCAGTCCTCTAGCCGCTGAAGAACTTCCGGCGTTGACGGCGGGGTCTTTAGTCCTCAGACAGATCGACGTCGACGTTGTCCGCTAACAGTACCAGCGGCCCTGTTGAACGCCGCCTCCACTATCGCCATGGCGGGCCGGAAGCCCGGGCCCGCATAATTCGGCAGCCAGATCTGTCAGTAAACAGGTGCAGCCGGTTCGCCGAACAGATCCAGTCCCAATATCTCGGCGTCCGACCTGTAGTAGAGCCGGTGTGTCGGCCGATCTGTCCTAGGCACGATGTCTCCTGTGTCTTTTACATTAGTCAGTCGCGGATGTGCCGAGACATCCGGCGCGGGGTCATGTCTGTGGCTGAGCTGCTCTGTACCGGCGACGTTCTGGTCCACGTCTCATTCTCATGGAAAATTGAACTTTGTGGCCCTCAGTTCCACAAAAACTCTCATCATTTATTCAGCAGCCAGATCTGTGAGATCCAGCCCAATATCTCGGTGCCACATGTTTTTTGCAGCGTCTGATGTGTCTACGCGTCCAACCATTGGCCGATGTCACTACGGCGACTCACTGCTGACACTTTTGTCAGTTCTCAAAGATTTTCGAGACGCGTCGCATCGTCAGCAGCAGCTGATCTGTCGTCCGGCCACCTACAGACCGACACGGAACAGCCACAAGTACCTCTGCTTCTATAAAGTATACAAAAAGAATGATGTCAGTATATCAGATGAATATCCTATTTTTCATGTTCTAACTATATTTGTATATCGTTAGGTTTATTATGTTTTTATATCCACTCGTTAATTCCTACAATATTATTATGTATCCTCTAATGAAAAATGTATAAAATATATTATGTTCTGTTATATTGTTGTACATAAATTGTTTGAAATATTTTTTTGTATTTAACGATTCTGAGCGGAGATGGTGCGTAATCCTAGGCCTAGGCTCAGTGGCGCCAAACACGTATGGCTACTGGATCCACACCTGGGGTACAACCGTATGTATTCCTATATTTTTAAAACTAATGCATAATTAGGTGTAGGTACTATTAATGTTTTTAGTAAATCGAATGGTGAAGAAAAAAACGTAGGTACCTATAAATATTAGATGCATAATAGAAATAAGTATTTTTTATGAGCATGACATATAGGTACGTCATACGATTTTACCATTCAACTATTTTATTAATTTTAAAATGGATACTAATGTTTTAAATTGAATATAATAAACGCTCAACTGGAAACAAGCAAACATTTAAAGATTATCATTGGTTAAAAATAGTTAAGTTATGTTATATTATATTCAGTGGCGGATTTAGCGTCAGGCAAAGTAGGCAGTTGCCTAGGGCGGCAAATTTTTAGGGGCGGCAATTTTAGGCCAATATTTTATTGAGAATACTCTAAGTTTCTTTTTGATTTTCTAATGTACGGTGATTACTCTGAAGGATGGAAAAAAAAATGTTTAATATTTAAGTATAATAATATTCTTGTTAATATAATTTCTTCTTTATTTTATAATGCATAACAATAAACGTCCAAGTAAATTATCGAATGACTGCCGGAACGTAGATCTATTATCTAAATAGTAAATACTAAACACTACACGCACAATACATACAGATATGATATATTTAATACGAATAAGGGTGACGATAGTCTAATTATAAACCAGTCACTGTGAATATTTTTATATAATTTACTCGTACGTACTATGCATTATGTGTACAAAAATAAAACTTTTTCTATCCAAAAGATAAAATTATGTAATAATTGTTTATTTTTCTTCGGAACTATGAAATAGAGGGCGGCCGAGAAAAAATAGGTTTATTCTGATTAGACATTCGATTATTTTCAACACAACATTCAAGGCGGATAGACTTCATATTTGGTTATTAGTATACTACTTAAATTACTGGTAAATAAACACTATATTTTATAAACACATTTTATTAGAACAGTTTATTAACATAACTGCCATTAATTATTGTTTAGTATCAGTCTTTATGATTTATTTTTTTAGTACTTATGTTAATAATTGTTAAATGAGTATTTAAAAATTCGTTTAATGGGGCGGCAATTGTGTAAATCCGTCTCTGATTATATTATATATTATGCCGTAATAGTGTAATATTTATATTTTATATCATGAAGTACAGTACAGGTACGTAATACTGATTTAACATTTCATAATAACATACAATTATTTGTTATTTTAGATCCATCCGGTATTTACACAAACTTAAGAACTTTCTAGTTTCTTTGAAATAGTAAATATATATAGGAAGAAAAAAAGTTCTTTCATATCTGAAATTGTTGACTCTCTCGAGTATTGGTCAAGGTAAGTTATCCTATGGGACTTCACGGATATAATAGGCAAAAGGGGTAAAAACAGAGAATTTAATATCTTAGAGTAAGTTTTTCGATCGTGATACTGATGGTAGCTTTCAAACTAAATATTACCCACCCTTCAGGCATACCTTGTCCGGTCACTTTTCGTTTTCATCATAAAGAAACGTTTTTATTTCGTGATTGTGAGTTTCTATATAGAATGTTGCTATTATTTGTCGGATTTAAGTAACAAACTGAGGACAATTCTCAAGACAGGTACTCTATATATATTCAATTTGAGATTTTCAGTGAAAAAGATAAATAAAAAATAAGTGGACAAGCCAGTGTCTGTAGTATTAAGTATAATATTATGTCTCTGCAAGAACTCATACCACTTTGCCCACCTAAATGCCCATGTGAATATACCGTTTTATACTATCATTGTTGTATTAATCACTTATATATTATATTAAATTGGACAGCTAGAAAAACTTTTAAAGTATTTAATAATTAATATACATATAATAGTACATACAATATTTGTGAAATTGTAAATGGAGTGTAAGTAAAAAACAAAAAAATTATGATTTTCAAAACGTATTTAAAATAAATCCAGAATTAATACAATTTGAAACTTATTAATTTTACCTACTAACTTATTTTAATCTCATTTATCATAAGACAATTAAAATATATTTTCATGGAATTTGTATTAATGAGAATAAGGAGCATTTCATCAATATATACCTACATTTACACTTATGACTTGAAATAAGAGATGGAACCACTATTACACATTACTTCATCCCTCCCACCATCGTTTGTTGTTAAAAACAAAAACAATATTACTAATTGTATTACAAGAATGACCACGATAGGTACCTGTCACCTGGTACAAATTACGGAAACAAAATTATAGTAGGTAGGTATACGTCATGTTTAATTAATATTTAACCTAACTATAATTATTTTTTAAGGCAATTTTTGCATATTATTAAACGTTGGTAGAGTATATATTATATCAAAAATGATATAACTATATAAAAACCGATAAATTTAATAAATAATTATAAAATGTATCTAAGACAATCAACTAATTATTGACTTCTTAATAATGCACAAAATAAAAGCTTTATTGTATAATTTCTAATATAAAACCGTTTTTCGAATGCAATAATTTATCATTGCACTAAAATTGTAACCACTCATTACAGTGACCATAACTCAATGACAATAGGTATTCTCGACATCTACTATACAGCAGAACGGTTACTATTTGTAATATTTTCAGGAATGTATTCTTTTCACACACAGGTACCTATAATTTGTGGGGGGAATAAACGCTACTGGACTGGGTGGCAGTATTGTGCTAAATAGTTCCCACCCGTTTCGGTTTTTGAACGGAAAAAAAAGATATTTCAAATTCTAAAGATGTTTTTTTACAAGGAGTGACTTTTGGATATGCAAACTTTTTTTCTAATGAGAATCTCCCTTTTCTACTGTAAATGTTAGCACTAACGGATATTTTAAAGATATTATAGTATTTAAATTAAAATTTATTAAAATTTTAAAGAGTCATCACTAGTGGTGGTAGAGTGGTGAAAAGAGGAGGGGGGATTTTGCATAGTTAAGAAATATATAAACTCAAAAAAATATTTTTATTTAGGTTATATATTTTTGAAAAATAATTCATAAAAACTAATGATTTATGACATTTTATATATTTTATAAGCTAAATTAAATCACAAAATGTACATTTTACGACGTACCCACACTACCTACGACTAATACCAATATTTTTTGAATTGGAATAAGAAATATTATTCATAATGTATTGACACTGTACAATAAATTTAATTTGACTTTTCGATTGGAAGACTGTCGTCGTTTGGAATGAAAATGAAAATTTATTGTATATTGAAAATTTTATTGCATTTATAATAAATTATATAATAGTTACATACCTATGCCGTTATATTCATCCAACAATTTCAAACACATAAAACAACATTACAGTTCTTGGTTTTTTTACTTAAAAATGTGAAACTAAATTTTTAGTTCGGTACATTTTATATTTTAGATAAAACTCAACATACTTATTCAATAGTTTTCATGTACACCATAGTTTGTTTACAACGTCTTGGAGCTTAATTCAAGGAAAAAATGTGCAAGTTAATAAAAATAATCAACTCGAGTTAGTTGAGTTAAGGTTAAGAACGTTCACAAAAATCTAATAAAACTATAAACTGGTACTTGATAGTGAGCAAACAATAATATTAAACACTAAAAGTATAAAGTGAATATTAACTTATAAGCTATGCAGTTAAAAACCGGTTAGTTAGGTAGTTAATTATTTGACTTATTACCAACTATTATAGGTCACACACTCACACATGATTGAAGCGATTGTGAAACTTAAAATTGTTTTTATATTATGTAAAAATGTCCAAATTATTAAATCGAGGAATATTTATTTGTATTTAAAATCATTATACATAGGTAAACAGTGTGATCAAACAAACAAATTATTGACTTCCTCCCAATTTATGATCTACCGAAGTTTTGTGTAGGTTTATCTCAACAAAAAAGACTGAATTTAATACGATTGTCAATTTGTATTGTAAACCACATACTATAATAATTGTATTTTTATAAAGGTAGACCACAGTTCATCAGTAAACCGCTTATTTTTTTTTTTTTTTTTTTGTTAAACTGTTTATGGAGAAAATGAAGAAAACATATTTAAAAAAAAATTAAATACCTGGCAGTTAAGCAAACGAAGAAGTTAAGTACCTATATTTGACTAACTATTAGATCACTTGATGTTAGATGTAAGGAATAATAAGATAGCAAAACAATTTTTGACGGAGTAGGGTCAAGACCGATTGTTTACGGTTTACCGTCTACACTTTTATATAAACAGTTTATCGACATAATTAGTAGTTTCTTACGTTTAGAAAACTATAAGTAATAATGAAGAATGAACACACACGTTAATGTACTGCCTCTATGGTCTATGGATAAGATCCATAACGATACCATGTGAAACATGTAGAACACTTATTTTATCTGAAAAAGCATCCAAGGAAGAAGATATTATATCATTATAATGAAAAAAAAATTTTAAATACCATATTCTAAAATCAATACATTTCTTGCTTATGCAGGTACTGAAATCGACAATGAAAATTAATATAATATAATATTCAAACAAAATTTATATTCGTGATTTCCAACGTAATTCCGAGTGCCTTTAATCCACTATAAATAAGATAACAGATGCTCATAATATATAATATTATAACGCATCCTCTGAATAACAGTATCTAGTTGACTTACGAGAGTTCGAAACTTTATTTATAAACAAACTTTTTTTCCAAAAAAATTTTACAACAAAAAAAATAATTGAGAATAGCTAATATTTTGCTATAATGTTTTTATTCG